ATTTTTATTTTATAAAAAATGGATAAGAATTCGTTTTATGTTTCAACTGGTTTAGTCATAGAAATAACTGCCCAGTGAAGAGAAAGTACAGTTGATACTGGTCAAGCATGGCATAATTAGAAGTATGGAGTAGGAGTGGGCCAAATAGAAATATTTTTAAAATAAAATATACCGTTCCACTCAATGTATGAGACTATAAATTATTTATAATTTATTATGCTACATAAATTAGAAACATGTGTTACCTCATACACTTTGCTGTTCCACACTCCTTTAAGTCTGTGATAATCCAGTTCAGTATGCCCATTCAATAGCACTTACGAAGTTCAAATGCAGTAATCAGGATTCATGGCATATTTAAAATGTAGACATACGTTTTAGGGCTGTGCTATCCAATACAATAGCCACTAACCCTGTGTGGCTGTGAAATATTGGATATTCGGCTAGTTCCGGTTGCGGTATTATGGAAGAGTACAATGCTGGTGATGGTACCAAGCGCCATCCAGTCAGGGCCGACCCCTCGTGTGAACAGTAGACTAAACAGACCAGTGACCGGTGCTGTCTCCACAGCTGTTGTCCGGTTTGAGCCTGTTGCTGGCCGCGTACTGCTCCATGGTCCCAAGCAGAACTGATCACCCCTGGAAAAGTGTCCCGAGTACAGGAGACATCTCACTCTCCTTTCTTCCAAGGAGCATTCTGCTTGTATTCTACCAAGACAGATCGTCCATCCTTCTGGTAGCAGCTAATATATCCCGTATTCTTTCCCAACACCATAACTCAGAAGCATCAGTTCTCCTTCAGTCTTCCTTATTCATATGCTTACGAGGGCATTCGTCTTCAAAGAGACTTCATTGCTCTTCAGCACTTTACACGGGGTTTTTGTAGCAGATTTGCCCCATGCGCTATGGCCTTTGACTTTCTTGAAGACAACTTCCATGGATCCAAGTAAAATACAGTGAAAGCCTCGTTAACTTCATTATTTTCTCCATTTATCGTGATGTTGCTTATTGATCCAGGTGTGAGGACGCTTGTGGTTTCCCTTGCATACTTGATTTTAACACTTAATATGAAGAAAATAATATAAACTGGCCATAATTTTTATCTTGGTTATATGTTCAATAATTTCAGATATATTGGGTTAAGTAAAACATTATATTTTATGTAACCACTTTACTGTTTTAATATGGGTGCTAGAGAATTTAAAATTATATTTATAACTTGCACTAAATTTCTATTAGACTATGCTGGTCGAGGGCAGGGGTTTTTGCCTGGTCCGTGAACTAAGAATGTTTGCTAACTGGTTTTTAATGGTTGGGATGAAACACTGCAAGAATGGCTTGTGCAACATGTGAAAAGCATTCAAAATCCCGATGTCAGCATCTTCACTGTGTCCTGATGCTTATGAGTAGAACTGCCTTACAATATTGGGCTCTACTAAAAATAGACATTGTTCAAATTACTTTTTCTCTTGTTATTGTATGAACCTGCATAACAGCCTATGTCGTACCCCTGGGCTTACAAAGCCAAAAATACTATCTGGGCTTTTGCCGAAGAAATTTGCTAACCTCGGGTCTAGAGGGTGAAGGGTCAACTTCTGTATGTTCACTACTGCTTTCTTTGCTTCAGTGCCTCTGACTGTTTTATAACGTGCTGCAGATTTCAGTATTGTTACAGGATCAAATAGGACACGTTACTATTATTCTAAGATCTCGAGGCTTTATGAATGATAGAAAAGCCTTTGGAAGGGGTGCGCCTTTTACATTTCAGTTGTAAAATATTCCTTACCTAGTACAGAGGATGTGGTAAACGTGGGTTGGGGAGGGAGCGTTGGTTTAGATTTTCCAGGCCTGACCTGGTGAAGTTGATACAGACATGCCTTGAACGAGATGAACCGGGTGCAGATGTGGTCCAGTTACTAATAGCTGATTCCTGTGCTCTTTTCTTGAAGTTGAACGAAGGAGAAGATTTAACATAAACGACCGCATTAAAGAACTAGGTACTTTGATTCCCAAGTCAAATGATCCGTGAGTACAATCGCATGTTAATCTGCATCATTTATTTTTTCATATCTTAATGTGGTGTTTTTTTCATATGTGGTAAAAAATACTCATTTATAAAAAATTAGGTTAACAAAGAGTAAAGAATTTTTCCCAAGCCCTTTGGTCCCTCAATAATTTTTACACCCTTCTTTTGCTTAATAGTGTCATTGAGCTAAACTTTCTCGGGCGATGCACCGAATGTTGGACACCGTCTTTAGCTTTGGGTGTGAGGAAGCAGTTTCTTGGAATCTGAAAATACCTGTCAAAGAAATCCAGCACCTCCCAAAAAAGAGAAAAATCAATAGAACAACTAATACAGAGTTTAACAGCTGTTTAAAAGAAAAGGCAACTGTGTTGTCTCTTCTCAATTTGTACAGTATCTGTAGGTGCTGAAGCACAAATATTGGAAACTTCAAGCTTAACATTATTCAACAGATTAATTGTTCATGTTTTTGAAAAGCTTGATGCTTTCTTTGAATATATATGTATTAAGGAGAAGCCAGCTAATGTCGATTTTAACCTCTGGTCCCCCCAGAAGGAACAGTTGTGAAGATAATTTTTTTCATGTCTCCTCTACCAGTCTTCCAGATACCTGCTCTGTCAGCAAATAGGACAGCACACACAGGATCCTTCCCATTAGAAATGGGCCCAGTTAAAGTCAGGGCCTAGGGGGTGTATATACTTTAATGGCCCCCACAGGCCTTGTATGAAATTAGCCTTTGAATATGACCTTTTAGCTGCCTGATAAAATGTAAAGATGCAATCAAGCATTATCCATGCAAGGCTTACTAAATTTGCCATTCACATTATTGTCGGGGAATTTGCGACAAATAATTTGGCACCCTCGCCCACGGAGGCGGTTTTGATAAATGTTCAAGCACTATTCCCATCTTCAACATTCAGTTTTTCCCAGCTTTCCAGGAAAGCCATTCTGAAACTGGAAATATTGAGAATCTCAATGCTGCAGCACACATTTACCCAAGAAGGGGCTGCGACCTTCATTTCTTACAGCCAGTCTTGCTTGCTCGTTGAAATTGAGTTCCCATTTTCCTGTTCTCTGTCAGCCCTCACTTGTTAGCGGATTCCTTTAAACTGTAGCATGTGACTCTCTTTAGCAACATATTATAAACGAAGGGGCTGCAGCGAAAGCTCGTATTTGCATATCTCCTCTCTCCATTGGGTGAGGATAGTCCTGTGTTTATAATCTGCACTGACAATGATCTTTGATTGCAGGCATTGTCTTAAGATACAACGGACTGCGTCTGTCTGGTGGTTTTGTCTGCCAGGGTTCTGGAGCTTGCCAGTACAGTCGGGCTGTTCTGGGTCTCTGTCCCCACCCTCGCTTCCCCCCAGGCCAGGTCTGCCTTTGCTGGTTTTGCACAGAGAGGATCCGAACACACCTCTGTTTGAAAAATAAATACATTAAAAGAGTCATTTTCATTAAAAAAAGAAGAAAGTTCATAAAAGCCCACACATCTATTTGATTGATTTCATCTCGGAAGGATGCAAAATCCAAGCAAATTAATTGAAATAGCCATTTCATACGAACTTTGAGTAGCTGCTTGTGTGTTCCAAAACGAGCGCACACCTACTTGGCCTAATTGGGGCATGGTTCATTATGATTCCATTTCTCTGTGGCTGCCCAATTTCTGCGACTTTGATCTCAGCGCAGCACATTCAGGCTGCTCCCTCCCTGCCCCCTGTCCCCCTGAGAAACTCTGGACACCTCCCGAGTTGCCATCTTTGTTGCTTGGTCCCCAGGGTGTAACCCCAGAGGATTCTCTGGGGGCAGTTCTTCTGCCACTCTTGGGAGAACTTCTGTTTTGTTCTCCAGCTAACTCTTGTGAGGATCAATTACTCGGTTGTTTTAATGGCGCTCCATTTGCATGCCCACCTGATACTTCCGATCTGCTTTTAGTATCTGTCGGCTAAGGGTAGGTGAGTCTCCATCCCTTAAATGGTTTGTTTTCATCATCGTCATTGTCTTTACCATCATCAGTTCTTGTCTGTAGAGGGGTTCAGAGTAATTAAAACACCATAGAAAGATACTATACTTAGATCATTATGAATCATTCTGAATAGTTCTTCTTCTGGGGCACTCTAAACTTTTTAACTGCTCCTCTCCTCACTTTAATGACAGTCTTCATTTACTGTACATGAGAACGTTGGCTAGCACTGTGGTGGTGGTGTCCCAAGTTTTGGGTGCCTGGGTTTGAATATTAACCAGCCCCTTATTAGATTCTACGGCTTTAGGGAAGATACTTGAGTTCTTTATACTTCTCATTTGTTTTTAAAAAAGAATAGCATATTCTTACATAGTCTAGTTTGTTGGTTGGTTTCGTTTTTAAGAATCAGTCATCTAGGGAGAGTATTTACTAGTGGCTTAGTGCATGACTCCTGGTGTTGAGTTTCCCAGACTCTCTGGCTTTGCCACTTCCGAGCTGTGTGATGCCACACAAATTGCTTATGAGAGCTGTGTCCCCATCTGTAAAATGGGGATACCATTAGTACCTACCTACTGAGATTGTCATGATGGAGTGAGCCGCAAAACACAGATACATGCCCCTGCCATATACTAAGTGCTGTCTAAAGGTACTCCAATGATTATGGTGAGCCCTTAACCCTTGGCACCTGCTCCATTATCTGGATGGTGCTCTTAGCTTTTCAACTCACACTCACCTGAAGGAGCTCCTTGGATTTATAGCAGACCTGCACGTGTGGCCTTGCCATTTTATAGATGAGGAAGATGAGGAAACAGAGAGAGGAGGTGTCAAATAAGCCTCTCAATGATTATTCACTGGAACACCCAGGCCTGCCACTCAATACCACACGCAATCAAGTCATGAGTTATTGTTTCTTTTCGTAACTTACGGTCAAGTCATGAGTTATTGTTTCTTTTCGTAACTTACAGTATCTGGCTGAGTGAAGCGTCTATTCACTGCCATTACGTTGATTCCGACTCAGTGACCCTGTAGGACAGCTTAGACCTGCTCGGTGGCTTGCGTTTCTTCACAGGAGCAGAAAGCCGCATCTCTCCGGCAGAGCGCCTGGTGATTTCAAACTGCTGGCCTTGCACTTCACAGCCCGACTCAACCAGTATGCCTTCACGGCGCCTAGTTCAATGTATAACTTTTCTAAATGTGACTGTTTTTAATTATAGCAGTTTAAAATGGTGTCTCAGTCTATGGCCTAATCAACAGGCCTAAATGTACATTCGGACCCCCCAACGTCTGGGCTGTGTGACTTGGGGCTGTGGAATCACCTCTGAGTCAGGCCATGGGCATTCTCTCTCGGTGCCAGGGCCCTGGTGAGGGTGACGTCAGAGTATGTATGAGAGATGGTGACCGTGTCTGGTACGTGGCAAGCATTGGCTGCATGGATGAGTCTCAATGCTTAAACCCTGTTTTCTTCCGATTTCCTCAGAGACATGCGCTGGAACAAGGGCACCATCCTAAAAGCATCCGTTGACTATATTCGAAAGCTGCAACGAGAGCAGCAACGTGCAAAGGAACTTGAGAATCGACAGAAGAAACTGGAGCATGCCAACCGGCATTTGCTGCTCAGAATCCAGGTCTGTAGCTTGCGTGCTGCCATGTTGACTACGTGCTTCTCGTTGTTGCCTTCAGGTCAGCTTCAGCTCATGGAAAGCCCATGTACAGCAACAGAGCAAAGCACTGCCCGGTCTGCACCCTGTGGAGCCCTTGTCAGTCCCCGTGTACTTCAAGGTTCTTTGAAATCCAGCGGGCTGTTCTTTCCACGTTATACCGGACAGTGTGCTCTTGGGATCTTTAGGGGTTTTATTGGCTAATTATTGGAAGTAGATTAGCAGACTTTTCTTCCTAATTTGTCTGAGTCTAGAAACTCTACATTCCTGTCCGTGCTGGTATTTGGAACAGGAATACTAGTGGCGTGGATTCTAACAGCACAGCAGTGTGCCAGCCAGTGCAATACAACACAGAGAGGGGTGTGGTGGTTACTGCATGCTACTGGCTTGGGAGGTGGAAGAAGCTAGGGGACTAGCTATGATGACAGTCCTTGCTTATGGGCAACTTGGGGACACCTAGTGGAGATGCCTTTTAATTATGATGCTGGTGACAAATACAAAATATGCTGGGAACTGCAGGCAGAATGAATGGATCTGCTTTAGAAGTACAGCCGCCAGAATGCTCCTTAGAATCGAAGATGTGAGACTGTGTCCCACATGCTTTGGACATGCTATCAGGAGAGGTCAGCACCTGAAGAAGGACTTCATGCTTGGTTCAATAGAGGGTCAGCAAAAAGAGGAAGACCCTCAATGCGGGGGTGGACCCAGTGGCTGCCACCACGGGCCGAAACCGAACGACTGTGAGAAGGGCAGAGGCCCGGGCAGGGCACTGTTCTCTGGTCCACGGGGTCACTGTGAGCTGTGACCAAATCGATGGACAGTGGGCCTTGTCATAAGGATATGCCGCTCAAAGATAGTCATTGAATTGGAGTTTTTTGTGTCTTTAACTTCAGTCCTGTGGAGGTGGGGAGGGAGGAGGTTATAATAGGATGAACTGCGGTCTATCAGTCCATTCAAGTGTGCTAGCAGCCCAATCGTGTTATTCAGCTATGGAGTTTATTTCACAGAGCCAGTCATTTATAGTAATGGTTTCTCTTCCTTTTCGCGTTCCACCACCCCACTCCCACGGCCGGCTGTCACCTCTCTCCTTTCCCTGGAGGGTCAGTCAGAGGACAACTGTGCTCTTAGGGTCTCCAGTGGCTGATTTTTCAGAATTGCTTCACCAGGCCTTTCTGACTGCCTGGGGTGGCCTGGAACCACCAGCCTTCCCGTTGGTGCAGCGTTTATTGCCCCACCAGGGACTCGGAGTTGTAAACTAGAGGAGGTTATGTGGAATTTGAAAAGTCTTCCTCTACCTTTTCCCCTTTGTTGGCTTTGTGGTTTATTGTACGCTCTGCATCTTTGATCGGTTGTTGTTGGTGGTGGTGGTGGGGTCCAGTCAGTTCCAATTCCCAGCAACCTTCTGTAAGCATAACCGAACAAGCTGCGTCCTGCTCCCATGTCCTTTGTGTGATTGTCAGCATCCTTGAGTCCCCTGCTGTCCCCCCCACGTGTTCTGAGTGCCTTCCGACTCAGAGGGCTCACCTGCCAGCTCTCCGCCAGGCAGTCTCGGCTTGTCCTCCGGGAGGGCTCCATGGCTAGTGCTCGAAACACATCACCAACCCTGTCCCCCGAGGCTGTCTTCAGTGGCGCGCCAATGGAACCTCGCCACCACAGAGGTGACCCTGTTGGCATTTGAAGAACTGCTGATGTACCGTCCCGTGTCATGGGAACGCGAACGCCACCCTGGTACAGCAGACTGGCAGGTGGTGGCGGCCGCCTCAGTTAGCAACCGCAGGTTCGCCCTCTCCCGGATCTAGCATGGCACGCACAAAAGCTGTGAGTGCAAGCACACCGCTCCCGGAGGTCCGCTCTGCAGTGTCACGATGATTCCGAAGTCTCCAGAAGTAGGGCCTTGTGTTATACTAAGGTTGCAGACGTGTGCTGCGCATGAAATGCGGCTCTTGTGATACCTGCAAACCGGTCTTAGTTTTCGTCCAGTGGCGGCATGAGGCAGCCGTTGTTAGCACGTTCGCATGTCATAGAAAACAGTTTTCATCAGGGACAGTCTGCCATGCCAACAGCCAGAGCTCTTGTGATGCGATACATCATGTTATTTGGAACTACAAGGAATGCTTTAATCAACTGATACACATTTTTAATTAAACAACAAAGGATCAGAGTAGGGTGTTGGCCTCCCTTTGTACAACTTTTTATTCTATGAAAAGGCAAACCGCATGCGTGGGGCGTCATTCTTATTAGTGTGTGTGTGGGGGGTGTGTGTGTGTGTAGATTTACAGGTCTGAATGTTTGCAGCTTGGACCTCGGGGCTTCTTTTCATTTTCGCTCTAACTGATGCATGCAGAAATGTTCACAGAAGAAAGAGCATGAAGCCTTAATCTCAATGGAACTGCCATTTTAGTAAATCACCCAGGGCTTCCCCTTGATGCCCGGAGAGCCCTGTGTTTCTGGAGGTGTGGTGTGAAGGAGCACACAGATACGTGTGCGGTGTCTCGGGCATCCTGGTTCATACAGGCTTGCTTCCGAGAGGGCTGCCTCCAGCCAAACCACTTTCAGTGTCACCTGCCCTGGACTTGTAGGGACCTCTCCTTTCTTGGCTCATGGGCAGAGGCTGAGAAGTTGTCCTGTGGTGGAGAGTCCCATTACCTCTCTGATCGTGACAAGGCGACATGCTTCATACTTATCCTCTGTTATGACTGTTTTTATTGCCATGGTAGCATAAACATTGATTGAGACAGATTTTACATGTTCAGCAGGGAGTGGGCTGGGGTCTCCCCGGTTCATTCTAGAAAGGAAAACAGAAAGAGCTGCTTCGGAGGCATTGGATAATGTGGGCTGGAGAAGTCACTGACCCCCAGGAAAATAGATGAAGAAAAAAAAATTTTTTTTTAAATCAATTTATTGGGGCTCATACAATTCATCACAATACATAGATCAATTGTGTAAAGCACATCTATACATTTGTTGCCCTCGTTATTCCCAAAATTCGCTTAAATCCTTAAAAACAACTCTACCATTGAGTTGTTTCTGATTCCCAACGACACTCCAGGAAACCCTGTGAGTTTCCGACATTTTAAATCTTGATGGAAGGAAAAAGCCTCATTCTCTTCCATAGAGCACCTGGTGATTCTGAACTGCTGACCTTGGAAGCAGCCCAACACATAACCCACTAAGCCAGCAAGGAAATGCAGCGGGGAGCAAACAAAAGCTGTTTGTCTTACAGAGGAGAAGTTTCTTGTGCAATAAAAACCACAAACATGTTCCTTTGCCTTGGTGAGATGGGTTACAGGGTGCCTCTCGCCCTTTGTTCGCGTAGATAGACCTTCGCCACATGTGCCTTGCCATGACTCACTATACCAGAGCCCCAAATTTACTTTAGCTCATGGTTCAAGTAGCTTTTCCCATTGTACCCCTAGACCACAAGCAGTGCTACCATGTGATGTCCACACAAGCAATTGAGTATTTATAGCCTCACGACTTAGTAACTGCTTGGCAAAATGGAACCGCATTGAAAGAAAAAGTGGCATTCTGGTTTAGTTTTAAAATAACCACAGTTACCAGTGGGACCTGTGCGTGTTGAGCACCGCAGGGCTTCTCAAGCCCCGGCATCAGGTGGGACCCCAACTCCCTCGTCTGTCCATTCCTCATCCACAGCAGCCTTCACACGGGCTGTGTGGCCAGAGAGCCGTGTTAGCAAAGAGGAAGCAGCACAGGCCAAGGCTGCGACTGGTCACACTCACTCTCCCACTGGGGTCGCTGTGTGTCTCGTGAGTTTTGTCGAGTGCCCTGTCTGCTTACTGCAGCCCCTCTGGGGACTTAAGGACCAAGTTTGGAAACCTTGGAGCTGTATTACTTCATATGTTTCTTTGGCTCTTTTTCAAAATTGCTCCTTTCTGATTAAAACAACAACAACAAATGTAACCTCATCATGAGCATTATTATCTATGGGATTGTGTCTCTGTTTCTAAAATGTATTAAGAACCCGATATGCAAACTAAATGAGAGCGTCACATGCTACGCTTTGACACCCATCGGCACCGAGTGGATCCCGACTCACCGCTGGAGGAGCACCGCTCGGAAGGCTTGCTTCCTTGTCTGTGACCCTGACCGCAGCAGGTGGCCAGGCCAGCTAGCTGTGGCCTCCTAGGAAGGTTGAAGTTGTTGATTTGAAAGAACAAGCGGCTTTTCTTTTGATACCTCTTCCCCCCATTTCTGCTTCAATGGTCTGATTTTTACTTCTGTTTTAGGAACTTGAAATACAAGCCCGCGCTCACGGCCTGTCCCTCATTCCATCCATGGGTCTCTGCTCGCCAGAGTTGGTGAACCGCGTCATCAAGCAAGAACCGGTCCTTGAGAACTGCAACCAAGACCCGCTCCAGCATCACACAGACCTCACGTGCACGACCACCCTGGATCTCACAGATGGCACCATCACCTTCACCAACAACCTGGGAGCCGGGACGGAGAGCCACCCGGCCTACAGTAGTGTCCCCGGCAAGATGGGCTCCAAACTGGAAGACATCCTGATGGACGATACGCTCTCTCCTGTTGGCGTGACTGACCCGCTCCTGTCCTCGGTATCGCCCGGAGCTTCCAAAACCAGCAGCCGGCGGAGTAGCATGAGTATGGAGGAGACCGAGCACACGTGTTAGCAAATCCTCCCTGCTCCACGGCCTCACAGACTCCCGGTCTTGATTCTTAGAGTTACCCAAATCCTTAGCCATTGACCCAGACAGGGCTCTCTTGAAAATATTCCTTTAATATGAATTTTTTTTCACGCTTTATCGATAGCCCAGGATATATTTTATTTTTAGAATTTTGTGACACAGACTTGTATATTCTATTTTACAACTACAAATGCCTCCAAAGTATTGTACTGTACGTGTACAGTATCTGTGAACTGCATTCACCACGGACTTTAACTTTCTGAGCAAGGGGATTTTGCATCAGAGAAATGTCTGTCCATTTTTATTCAGGGGAACCTTGGTTAGAGATTTAAAATCCCGTGACTTCCTTTGGGGATTAAATGTAAGATTTAAATGAAAGAATGTAAAGCAACCAAAAAAGACAGAGAAAAAATCCATACTAACTTGTTTCCATTTTGTAAATCTATTGATTCATTGGTACTGTCTTAAAAGATACAGTACCCTTCAAACATTGTTTAATCTTTATACTATAATATTGAAAGAAATATTACATTCTATAAAAGACAGCAGCAGCATAAATAGAATAGCCATTTCCCGGAGGACTGTCCGGTTAGAAAACACAGGTGCCACCGATGCTGGCCGAGTTAGGAGGGGGCTCTGAAGTGGAACCTCATCGTCTGCTCTTTTTTTACCAGCTCCGGTTCCACTCTTCCTCAATGGGTGCGAGCCCACTGCTCATGAACTATATTTTCTTTCAAATGGAAATGAATATCCTCTCCAAAGTAAAATATTGAGGAGCACTGAAAGTTGGTTTTCCTGTAAAACTTTTTTTTAAATTTTAATTCAAAATATTCTTTTTGGTTATGATTAAAAAACAGAAACTGGTGTATATTTCTAAATTTTTATTTTTTGCATTACGTTTTATTGTTCCTTTGATTTGTACAGATTCCTTAATATCGCCATTCTTTTCACTATATTTGTATTACTTTTTTGTAAGAAGATGCATCTGCCACTGAGACGTTTTCCGTATTTTTACAGCTCCCTGGTGGTTCTCCTCATCCTTTGTACACTCACGAAAGAAGACTTTGCCGCCAGGCCTGTGTTTCAGGGGAGCTTTTGTGCATATTTTGTATATTGCAGTCTCACTCAGAACTGTTTTTTCCACACACTTAAGGAGTAGTATTCATAGGTCAAAAGCCAGACTTTCTAGAGAAAATTAACTTACATATTTATTTTTAGTGACATCAAAATAGCCATATTCTTGGACATGGATAACTATAGCTTTAGTATGCCCAATTATGGTCATTTAAATTGGTGATTATTTAAGCAAACCTTGCTGATTTTTTTATTTCCTTACTTTTCCTTTTTTTGAGAGAAATACTGTATTGGCAAATCACTGTTCCTTGATAACAATGTTTTAACAAGCAGCAATGCTGTAAAGTTAGTTTCAGTGCGTTACCTACTTGTGTAGTCCTATGCAATAACAGTAGTGCTGTGTATGTCGTAAAAGGCCCAGGTGTTTTCTCCAGGTGATACGTTATGAGCTAGCCTATTGGATTGGGTTTCTTAGGAACAGCCTACAATTGGATAACGAGTGGCTTGAAGCATATCTATTCAGAATGAAGTGCCTTAAATTGAGCAGTTGTCCTTTGGGAGCTAGCACTGACTGACTGAAATATGACGTAGGAGAAAGCTTCATGATGGTACCTATAGCCAAGAGGAACATGTAGCATGGTGCCTACGTAGACAATATAAGAGCTTCCAATTTCCCTTCAGATATTTTTAATATTAAATATATTTTAGTGACAGTGCCAATTTCATCAGGAAACCTTATTCAAGAGGTTTTTTTGTTGTGTTTTGTTCTGTCTTTCAGTGTTTAAATGTCAAATGTGAATTGGTGATGGGTGGTGGAGGGTTGAGAGAGGAGGAGTGATTGTCTCATGTATGAATGGATGGCGTATGTGAAAATAAGCAACTGCATAGTTCCCATGTGCGTTGGGCAATGAGAATCCTTGGAAACATTGATGATCAGTTTTATAGCTTTATTACTTAAGGGGGTAGGGAAAATAAGTTCCCATTCTTTCAACCCCCTTAATTGTATAGCTCTCTTTATTAGAATAGTGATGTAAATCTGCATGAACAGCTAATTGTACCGTAGTGTTCACTGATACAATCATAGCGTTGTCTATTTTTCTCTTCATATTTATGTGGGGGGCTGGGGACGGAGGTCAAAGATTGCAATGCTACGATTCTAACTTTCCTTAGCTGGCTTTGAAGGCTATTAAAATAAGCAGTGTTGGCTAACTCACGGTCAAGGGACTAGGGTCAAGGTGAAGCAGCCTTCCAGAATGCTCTGGGTAGAGAAAGTATGGCATCACGTACCACTGCCCTGAGTCCCGCAGCTCCTGGGCTTGCCACCACCTGCTCCGTGCCCCTGCGCTCTTAAAAGACCATTTCTGGGAGTTGCAGGTGAGCTAGCCTAGGAGATTACTGCAACATGGGGGGGTGGTTTTATTTATTTCTTTTTTTGCCAAATAGTGTGTGGATTTGTTTTCGGGACTCGTTGAGCCGAGAGGAGGTGGTTTGGAGTGCCCCACATCGCTCCCCCCATCTCTGGGGTGCAGAACTGGGACTCCGGTGGGGCTTCCAGATGGAGTGTCCAAAATGCCAAAATCATCCAACTGCCTCTGGGTCAGGCAATGGAACTACGAAACCTTCTGACTTTGCCAAAAAAACCATACAACCCACATGGTCATTTGGTTCTTTCTGGTTGTTTTTAAATAATAAAGCAATAAGAACAAATGGAATACATAGGAATTGTAAAGACCTAAAGTAAAAGCACAAAGGAATGCACTTAATATTTGTGAAGAAATGCACTGGGGATAGGTTGATGTTGAAAACAGTATATAAAGAAAAAGAACCCTATTTCTTGAAATCTTACAAATGACTGTCTCTTGTGGACTCTTGGTACTGTAACGTTATTAATAGTCACCTGCTGTTGGATGCAGCAATAATTTCTGTATGGTCCATACCACTATATATTATGGATCGATATTAATGTATCCAATGAAATAATGAAAATGTTGTTCTTGATAGCCTCATTAAAGCGTTTGGTTTTTCACATAGTGGTGGCCAATTGTGTTTAGTTTAATGTCTATTTTGAATGTGTCTGCCTTATTCAAAAATTATTTTGAACACGTTTGCCTTTTATTTAATGAAGGATCAATTGCATAAAAAAATTGTTGAATACCAGTAAATACTTTGATTTATTTTAAATCTCACTCTAGGATGTGAATTTTTAATTTTAAATAGTTTAATTACTTTATGACTTGCAATCAAATGAATTATAATTATGCTGCTTATTTTTTCCTCCGCCCACTGTCGGGAGATTTTAAAATTCTTAATGCCAAGAATTTGTTGTAGATTCAGTAGTTTTATTGAAGATATTTTAATGATATGTGGTTGTATAAGATGAGAAATTGTCAGAGAAATTCTTGCATATTTACAGAAAAGATAATAGGTTCTTTAAATATCAATTTACAATAATGAGAGCTTAATCTACCAAGGCTGCCAGTTGCTCCTGGCATTTGTTTTTTTCTTCCCTTTAATAGAGTATTTAAGAATCATTTATAAATGTTGGCTATGAATTGGGAAGTGTCAGACAAAACATATCTTTATTCCCTCGCTAAATCCTAAAACTGCCCTTTTAAAATATTCTGCCTTAACCTCTGGAGAAAACAAGTGAAAACACCTTTCTGTTCACATTTCTCCTCT